CTCTCTTTCAGTCCAAAACAATGAAGAATATGATATTAAGAACAGAAAACAAAAACGCCTTATCTTCTTTAAAATCGTTAAAACAGTGAAATTTGTTAATATGGCTGTCACTGTTTCTCAGAAACACCAGGAGCTTCTACTTAAATATTAGTATAGTGGGTGGGGAAAATTGACGTAAATTGCCTCTCTGGTGAACAGCGACACTGTGAGTGTTGTTCGGGAAGTGCAGAATTAAGATCACTGTAGAGTCATTACCCCTTAAAATCACAAAACTCACTCGTTTGTGACGTTGTTCCCAACTGATTTTCAATTTGCAAATTCTGATCTAATTTTCTTTACCCTGTCAGTCTGAGTTGCCTTTGTTGCCAGTATTCAGTCCTTCTGCGCCTGTTACCCACATGTCTGCGGTGTGGATGATGGGAGATTATGATGATTATTTCAAATATAATATAATATAATATATAATATAAGACTCAGGTCACATTCCTGCTACTCAAATTTAATTAAGAATCCACCAGACAGTCCACATTTTTGCTCCCTCTCAGCTCCGAACACACCTGAGCCAAACAAGTAACCAATCAAGAACACAGAATACCTGGTACAGGTGTGTTGAGAGCCGGGAGAGAGCAGAAATACGGACTGCTGGAGGTCCCTGAGGACTGGGTTGAGAAATATTCAGTTAAAAATAAATCTCTCCATCCATAAAATACAGATTTTCCTTTATTAATGTTGGGACAGTATATCAGAAAAATGCAAATCATAGCTGAAAAAACTGCACAATTTCCACTTTATCTATGGTCTACTGTAGTCCGTATTGTCCAGTAGGGGCTCAAATGCACTGATTTCAAAAACCATCAACATTAGATTAAGTGTGGGCTCTAAATCTTTTAGTTTTACATTTCCGTCGACGCTTTTGTGGAAATTGACATCCAAATGAGGAAAATAAGCACCAATACTGCGAAAACAAATTCTGAGTACATGCATTTGTATCTGGCAAGTTAACTGGACTCTGATAGCGCTTTAAAGCTAAGAGGCATGGAGTGGAGAAATGAAAGCCATCAATGACGTCTTCAAATAAATTCACAAAATTAAATGACACTGTATTCTATTAAATGACACAATAATCACGGCTATGAGGTCATGTTCAGGTGTTTATCCATAACAGTCATGGTAAAATATAGGCCTATAATTCCAATTACTTCTGATGTTCATTCAAAAACAGGGATAGTTATTACCTTGAACCAAGCCACTCATGCTGATGAAACCACAAACAGATTTGTAAAAATATTAGTACATGTGTATGTTTGTGGAATTCTGGACAGCATTAAAATTTCTAAACCACTGAATTCTACCATGAATTTCAGACAGACCTGCAGACCAGACATTAAGAGCACTTCTATAGCTAAACTTCATTAAGGGTTCAGGCATTGACGTAACCATACCGTAAAAT